TCCTTTCCTTTCCTTTCCTTTCCTTTCCTTTCCTTTCCCCTCCTTCCTTCTTCTTTCTTTCCTTCCTTCCTTCTTTCTTTCCTTTAGGGAAAGGCCCCAATGAGCCTCACATCTTTCAACTCCAAGTCACTCTGAGCTCCCTTGGATACTTATTAATCCACAATTGCAGTCAGGTCCTCGCAAAACACATGGCTTTTAATTAACCTAATACCTCCAAGCACCAAGCTAACCAAAGTACAAAAAAAGGGAACCCAAAACCAAAGGCCATCTGCACTCGCTTCCCAGCGATCACGAGGACTTGGAGCCATAGCAACAGGATCTTAAATAATTGAGGAGCATGTGGCATCCTGAACCACTGTTGTGTATTGAATGAAGGATGGAGGTGTAGGGTATACCCAAGGAAAGCTGAAGAAGCAAGGTGACAGTCGAGACCATTCCTTATAGTAACCATAGAATACTAGAGTTGGAAGCGACCCCAAGGCCATCCAGTCCAACCTCACTCTGCCATGTAGGAATACATAACCAAAGCACTTCCAACAGAAGGCTTAAAATCCTCCAGAGAAGGAGACTCCATCAGACTCCCAGGCAGCATAGTTCACTGTCTGAATAACTCTTACTTTCACAAAGTTCTTCCTAATGTTTAGGTGGAATCACTTTTTCTGGAGTTTGAATCCATTGCTTGGTGTCCTAGGTGTGTTTTGTATTTCAGATTTTTTGGATTTTGGAATACTTCATGTCCATCTACATCAGTGGTTCACAACCTGTAGTCCATGGACCACGAATGGTCTACAACAGTGGTTTTCAACCTTCCTCATGCTGCGACCCCTTAATACAATTCTGCATGTTGTGCTGACCCCTAACCATAAAATTATTTTCCTTCCTACTTCATAACTGTCATTTTGCTACTGTTATCTATCGTAATGTAACTATCTGATATGCAGGATGTATTTTCATTCACTGGACCAAATTTCGCACAAATATCCAATATGCCCAAATTTGAATACTGGTGGGTTTGGGGGGGGGGTGATTTTGTCATTTGGGAATTGGGAGTTGTAGTTGCTGGGATTTATAGTTTACCTACAATCAAAGAGCATTCTGAACTCACCAACGATGGAATTGAACCAAACTTGGCACACAAACTCCCATGACCAACAGAAAATACTGGAAGGGTTTGGTGGGCATTGACCTTGAGTTTGGAGTTGTAGTTCCCTACATCCAGAGACCAATGTGGACTCAAACAATGATAAATCTGGACTAAACTTGACATGAATACTCAATATGCCCAAATGTGAACACTGGTGGAGTTTGGGGAAAATAGAATTGGGACAAACTTCCCACATAGAATTTTTTGTAATTTTTTGACTGTAATTTGCTATTTTAATGTTTTAGTGTGATTTAGAATATGATGTTTTAATGACTGTTTGTATTATTGATGTTGGAAACCGGCCCGAGTCCCTCGAATAGAGGTGAGAGGACCGGTGTACAAAACTGCCAAATAAATAAATAAATAGAACCCCCATAACCAACAGAAAATAATGTGTTTTCTGATGGTCTTTAGTGACCCCTCTGACACTCCCTTGTGACCCCTCCAGGGGTCCCGACCCCCAGGTTGAGAACCACTGGTCTATAAGAACTCAAATATGGTCTGCGGCTTCACCGTTACTACACCGTTGCAACGAGAGTGACTGGTCTCATGAAACCCTTTTATAGTGCCGAGGTCATGGGAATATCAGGAGTGGAGAGGCTGACTACCCACGAAAGGCATGACAACAAGCCTCCTGACTGCTGGTTCTCCTCCTCCCTCTTCCTGAGCGGAGCCATTCCATGTGGCGCTTGGAAGTGGGGCGCCTTGGTGTCTTCCTTTTTAGGCCTGTTCCTGGGGTTTTTTGGGCGGCTGATTCAGAAAATTGCATTGGATAGACCTGGTGCCACAATGGGTTAAAGCACTGAGCTGCTGAACTTGTTGATCGAAAGGTCGCATGTTTGAATCTGGGAAGCAGCATGAGCTCCCAATGTCAGCCCCAGCTTCTCCCAACCTAGCAGCTGAAAACATGCAAATGTGAGTAGATCAATAGGTACCGCTCCGGCAGGAAGGTAACAGCACTCCATGCAGTCATGCTGGCCACATGACCTTGCTGGTGTCTAAGCTCTTCGGCTTAGAAATTGAGATTTATTTATTATTCTTTATTTACCATATTTGTATACTGTCTTTCTCAGCCCGGAGGCGACTCATGCCTGCTCTAATTAAATATCAGACTTCTAAAATATAAAATACAATCCCATTTAAATTCATTTAGGATATTGCCCCTGGTAGTCCTCAGGGCGCAGCTTGGGGAAGACTGTTTTCATACATCTCAGGGCAATGCACACGCCAGCATTGCAAACAGATACTGCAGCTATCAGGAGCAGCATCGTGAGGCAGGCTTTAAATAATGCAACAGTGATTTCCATTCCCTTTATTTTGTTTACCAAACAACTCCTGATATTAGAAGGACAAAAGAGAAATCCACGATAGAGACAGAGCTGGAACTAAACCCAGGGTAGTTTACTTCTTAAGCAGACTGTCCTAATTTGTGTACAAAAACAATCCAAATAATAGGACCGCAGTAGCACAGCGGGTTAAACTGCTAGCTGCAGGAAATCTGCTCACCAGGAGGTTAGCAGTTCAAAGCTGTGAGTTGAGGTGAACTTCTGACTGTCAGCCCCAACTTCTGCCAACCTTGCAGTTCGAAAGCATGCAATGCAAGTAGATCAATAGGTACTGCCTTGGCGGGTGTTGCACTCCAGAACAGGAAAAGCCCTCTGAGTTTAAACACCACACCATTGGTAGGAAAAACAATCCTTTCATTGAAGATAATTTAAAAAGCTGTAAAGTAAAAAGCACTTTAAAGAAATAGGTAAATCCAATTAGATAAGAAGATAAGTAATCCAGGGAAAATAGTCCAGCAAAGTCCATGAAAATGAAGTCAAAACTTCTCTAATAAAATCCAAGAAACCAGGAAACATTAATCCAAGGCATGAATATAAAATGATAGAATCCAAGAATCAAACCATGAAACAAAAGACACTTAAATATGAACCTCCCAATCAAGGCTTCCATGAAATGAGAATGAGATCTTGACTTGACTCCAAATGATGCTTCATCTGACTAAATATCCTGTACTAGGGACTTTTATCTCCTCGTTAGTTATGTCCCAAGCACTCAGAAATTGGTTTCGTTTTACTTTAGAATCACTTATCTTTTTCTCTCGGAGCCTGGCAGAACGCCGAAGCCATTCTTCAGCTTTTCTGTTTTGACTAATCTCCTCCCGTCTATCTATTTGTTCATTAATTTCTGCACCTGGCTGATGTTGATATGGAGGTGCAACAGTCCCTTGTCTATGTTTGTGAGTTTTTTGCGGATGGTGTGAAGTCTTTCAGGCAGTCATAGATCTGGTGAGCCTGTGGAGGCTTTTAAACAGAGGCTGGATGGCCATCTGTTGGGGGAGGGGGCTTTGAATGCAATTTCCAGCTTCTTGGCAGGAGTTTGGACTGGATGGCCCATAAGGTCTCTTCCAACTCTATGATTCTAAAGGATGGAAGACAAAACTATATCTACACACAAATCCTCATAAAAGCATCATTTTTCAAAGGGTTATGACTTCTAACAAAGTCATGGCTTTCCAAAGATTATGAAATCTCCAAAAGGTTATGGAGATTTCCATTTTCCAAAACCTCGAAATTATATTTCTCTCGTGCTCTTTCTTTTCCAGGCAACAAAGGAAGGAGAGCCTCATCTTTTGTGTTCCAGCACACCCTTCTGG